CTTCAGGCATTTTAAATCCTTCAGGGATTTTCATATAAATTTCACTATCAAGTGAACCGTACAGATAAGCTGAAACTACATANTGTCATTTTCTTTATAAAAATACATGGACAAATAACATCATTTATGTAACCTTCTTTCAATAAATATTCACTAAGGCGATTATACCATATGCGCCCAGATTGCTTTAAACCGTATAAAGATCTTTGTAATCTAATTGAATAAATTTCCTGAGATTTTAAATTCGCTTCAGGCATTTTAAATCCTTCAGGGATTTTCATATAAATTTCACTATCAAGTGAACCGTACAGATAAGCTGAAACTACATAATGTATTTCAAGCTTTTCATGCAGTGCTAAACTGATGAGATATCGAAATGTTATGGCATCCATAACAGGTGAATATGTTTCATCAAAATCGACTCCAAGTCGTTGTGAGAATCCTTGTGCAACAAGGCGAGCTTTGTATCTTTCAACTTCACTTTTATCATTCCTTTTTGGCACAAAAACCCATTTATGACCAACTGGTTTTATACTAGCAGGTGTTTGGACTACTGGTCCAAAGACCTCTCTTTTAGCAAGTGACTTCAATTCCGATTGAATTGCCTCTTGCCATTTTGGCCAATCAGATCTTTGTCGACATTCTTCGACAGATCGAGGTTCAAGATCCTCACTATCTTGCATAATATTAAGTGCAACATTATATACAAAAATATTATCCACCACTTTCAGATCGATTTAAATTAATCACATCACCGGTTGAACTTATTAAAAGTTCTTCACTCACATGAGCTTCGGGTTCATTGATTTCTTCAGGAATCTCAGAACTAATCAGATTTTGGGTCTCTTCAGGGAATCCCTTCATAGTTTCGTTTTGATCATTTGTCGATTTTCTTTTTCGAGGATTTCGATCCTTAGAACCCAAAGGCCTACCACGCTTCAGGCGTGCTTTAGGTTCATTAGCTCTCATGCTAGTAGATGGTCCTATTGGGACATCAATTCGGATAGGCATATTCTCTGCTGGATATGTGACTTAGTTATCCTTTTCAAATCAGTAAATGTGTCTGCCATTTGATTTGCTATATTTTGTAAATGGATGATCTTCTGGACCTCCTGATTACATATAGGGGTACGGGGATCAAAGTGAGATAATGATGAAACTTTCCACACAATTTCTCTTTTGATTTCCTTTTTCTCTCTCCCTAATTGTAGAAAATTTGTTTCATCAAACCGACAATCTGCAAATCGAGCAGTAAATAAATCTCCTGTCAATGGTTCCTCTNTGCAAATCGAGCAGTAAATAAATCTCCTGTCAATGGTTCAAGATAGCGAATAATAGAGGGTGATTCAAACCCAACATATATTCCTATCCTTCTCTGTGGTCCCATCTTGCGATGTGGTGGTGCTACTGGTACATATACAGCACATCCGAAAATTCGTAGATAGGCAATATTTGGTTCATGACCAAAAACTAATTGTGACGGAGAATATTTATTATAATGTATCGGTCTGAGACGGATAAGTGATGCTGCATGCAAGATAGCATGGCCCCAAACAGTAGTAGGCAATGTTATTTTCATAAGTAGTGGTCTTGCTATCAATTGCAGGCGTTTAATAAATGACTCTGCAAGGCCATTTTGAGTATGAACAAAAGCTACAGGATGTTCAATTTTTATCCCAACTGATAGACAATAATCATCAAAAGCTTGAGATGAGAATTCTCCAGCATTATCAAGGCGAATAGCCTTTATAGGATAATTTGGGAATTGTGCCCTTAATCGAATTATTTGGGCTAATAGCTTTGCAAACGCCAGGTTGTGAGATGATAGTAGGCACACATGAGACCATCTTGAAAATGCATCTATTAGGACCATAAAATATCTAAACAACCCACTTGGTGGGTGAATAGGTCCACACATATCCCCACGTATACGCTCTAAAAAGGCAGAGGATTCAATGACAACCTTCATTGGTGATGGTCTAGTGATCATTTTGTCTTGATAACAAGCATCACAAGAAAATTCGTCATTTGTAAGAATCTTCAGGTTCTTTAATGGATGCCCACTCGAATTTTCAGTAATTCGTCTCATCATTATTGATCCAGGATGGCCCAAACGGCCATGCCAAAGCATAAAAGTATTTGAATCCGTAAACTTCTGGTTTACGATAAAGTGTGTTTCAACTATACTAATTTTTGAATAGTATAAGCTAGAAAATAAAGTTGGTAACTTTTCTACAATGCATTTCTGGTCAGAAATATTCTTTGTAATACAAAGATATTCCCTGTTCATTTCATCTATTGTCTCAACATGATACCCATTTCGGCGGATATCTATAAAACTCAACAAGTTTCTTCGGGACGTGGAGGAGAACGATACATTGTCTATAATAAGTTTTGTTCCCTTAGACAGAAATATAATGGCTCTTCCAGAGCTTTCAATCAAACTTATATTACCAGAAATTGTTAATAAATTTGCTTTTTCCTTATGCAAATAAGAAAAGTATTTCTGATCCTTGAATATGGCATAAGTTGTTCCACTATCAATAACACAAATATCTTCATGATTTGTCTTTGATCCAAACATAATATGAGGATTATCCATATTCTCTAATACTTTCAAAGTATTTGCTCGAGATGGCAGAGTCTCGTGCTGATAACGTGTTATAAAATAAAGACTGTCAAGTAAAGACAAGTATAGAGAGAAACTGATATATTATTCGAATTCAAACTGATGTACATAATGAACTGAAATCTCTTCTATTTATAGAAAAAAGGAAGCTGTTGTGTAAGCTGCTAATGCAAGCTGTTGTGTAAGTTGCTACTGCAAGCTGCTACTGCAAACTGCTGTGTAAGCTGCTACTACAAGCTGTTGTGTAAGCTGCTAATGCAAGCTGTTGTGTAAGTTGCTACTGCAAGCTGCTACTGCAAACTGCTGTGTAAGCTGCTACTACAAGCTGTTGTGTAAGCTGCTACTATACCAAATATGGGTAATCTTCTACTATGGGTAACGATTATCCATAACGGAGTACTGAAAGGATAAACTCGTTGTACCCGGTATGGATAATCTTCTACCGGGAGTAATGTTTATTCATAACCGGGTACCGAAGTGATAAGCTTCTTCAGGAAGCTTATTTTCAATAGAGTACTAAATAGATAAACATATTTACGGCGGATTCCCATATGGATAAGCTTCTTCAGGAAGCTCATTTACAACGGATTACTAAATGAACATCCATAATATAATATATTTATAACATAATTAACCGGATTAACTGAATTGTTGACCATAATTTTACTCATATACCCTATGGTGCTTGTAATTAGGTCATTATAAAATATTTTGTCTAAATAACATATCTATATATACTTCAATTCAAATTGCTATTCTTGTTAACATTACGGAGAATTGAAAAGAACAGTAGAAAATAAGAATAATCAGTGTTGCAAATTTTCTTGAATATACAAGAGAAAAAAAATCTAAGAATAAGAGGTATTATCTTTTTATCTTTATTGAGGTTTTGAAATTATAAGATCTTTTGTTTTAAAAAGGAAATTTTGTGTTTATAAGTTAAGTCGACAGCTATAATTTTCTCCTTACACTTTTAACATTTTTACATATTGGATTTTGTGATCTCGAACTTTGGATATTGCTAAACAAATGCATTTGATCATGCTTTTACATGAAAAAGTATTTGCTAACCTAAGACTAACTTGAAGCATTTTTTTAGGGAAGGATGATAAAACCGCACGAACTGTCATCATTATTGTTGTGCCCACTGTCACAGTTGTTATTTTTGTTGTTTGTATTCCTGTCATCTTGATGAAGAGACGAAAGAGGAAGCTGGTGAACAAAAGAGAGAGTAAGCGTGGCTTATTAACCTTCAATGATTTTGGAATGTTGAATTTAATTAAGACCATGTTTCGCTAATTTGTTCTGTGCTATTACTACTACGTTGGTGAAGGTATACATGTGGATGATATTAGTACTGCAGAATCCCTGCAATATGATTTTTCTACAATTAGAGCAGCAACAAATAACTTCTCAGATGTTAATAAGTTGGGACAAGGCGGATTTGGTCCTGTGTACAAGGTGATTATATTAAATTTACTTATTGTTGCATGAGTTTAAGTTTTATAGCGTAAAAATTCTTTAAGTGTATATAATTAAATCATTCTTTCAATTTGTGCTCGTCTGCTTCAGGGTAAGCTTCCAAATGGACAAGAAGTAGCAGTGAAAAGATTGTCTGCAGACTCAGGCCAAGGTGATCTAGAATTCAAAAACGAGGTCTTGTTGGTCGCCAGGCTTCAACACAGGAATTTGGTTAGGTTGTTGGGATTTTGCCTTGATGGAATAGAGAGACTTCTTGTCTACGAATTTGTTCCCAATGCAAGCCTTGACCACTTTTTATTTGGTTTGTACTGCTTAACTTTAAATCCTTTAGTTGCCCTAATCTTTTACACTGCCAGTATATAGAAGTTAAAACTTTTTATAGATTATGAAGCTTATTAGTATTTATTTTGTTTGTCCAATGAGAAAGCAGATTCGGTTAAACGTAGGCAATTGGATCGGGAAAGGCGATCCAGAATCATAGGAGGCATTGCTAGGGGAATTCTTTATCTTCATGAGGATTCCAGACTTCGAATCATTCATCGTGATCTCAAAGCTAGTAATGTTCTACTAGATGCTGAAATGAATCCTAAAATCTCAGACTTTGGCATGGCAAGGCTATTTACACTGGATGAAACTCAAGGCAGCACAAGCAGAATTGTTGGGACCTAGTAAGTTTTATAACTCTCACTAGATCGACTGTTATTTTTCATATCGCCGGGGCCTGGGAAGAATTCTTAAACATTTAACAAGAATAAAAGCTGCATCGAGACATAAGCAAATCTTCCCTTGAAATGTGACTTGAATTTTCAACATGTCATTGTAATCTCTTCAGGACTGGTTACCTCAATTTTGTTGAAATAGGACTTTGTTTGTGTCTAGAATTTGAATTATTCGAGGTGAATGGTCATATACCTAAAGTTATTGTCAATTTGGTCATTAACAAAGGTGCACTGTCTGATGATGAAAATGAAATTTATTTCCAGAGTCAGTTCTGGGAATGAATAGGCACAATCTTGATCTTGTCTTGAACAAATTTTTTCTTATCCAGAACAAACTTTTTCCTTTTTCTTATCAGCATATGAATTCTCCTTGTTCAGAGAGGTTAATTACATATGATCTCTTGGCAGCAAAATATAAGGTGTAGGTCTTAACTTATCAAACTTGTAGTTTGTTCAGCCAAGAATAGATCAATGGTCTAAGAGTTTTCACATTGCAGTGAAATACATTTTCACTAAGGAAAGGCAGAAAAAAGAAAGCAGACATCAGGAGACCATAAATACCCAATCTGCACACCGTATTGGGGTAGGACGGATGAAGTGAAGGTTAACATCTAGAGCCATGTGTGACAAGAGAGTGCCACCGATACTCAAAGGTAAGTTCTATAAAGCAGTGGTTAGATCGGCCATGATGTATGCGGCTGAATGTTGGCCTGTTAAGAACTCACATATCCAAAAGATGAAAGTAGAAGAAATGAGGATGTTGAGGTGGATGTGCGGGCACACTAAGATGAATAAGATTAGGAATGATGATAGGGAAAAGGTGCACGTGACTCCCATTAATGACAAGATGCGGGAAGTGAGGCTCAAATGGTTCGGTCATGTTCAGAGGAGAAGCCCAGATGCTCCGGTAAGGAGGTGTGAGCGGCTGGTTGTGGAGGGCACGAGAAGAGGTAGAGGGTGACCTAAGAAGTATTGGGAAGAGGTGATCAGGCAGGATATGACGAGGCTTCAGATATTCGAGGACATGACACTTGATAGGAAGATGTGGCGATCGAGTATTAGGATTACAAGTTAGGAGGTAGTTGAGTCTTGCCTTACTTTCTACCTTTGTGAGCCTAGTCTGGTAGCGTTTTTGTCTAAGATAGCTAGTGACAATGTTGTGTCTTACTATTTCGCTTTTCAGTGCGGGACCAATTTACTAGCCATCGCTTTTGCTTTGCATATTTCATGTTGTTTCTATTTTTTCTATGATTTCTGTGGTGAAACTAATATTGTCTCCTTTTGTCTTTTTATTCTCTTGAGCTGAGGGTCTTTCGGAAACAGCCTCTCTACTCCTTCGGGGTAGGAGTAAGGTCTGCATACACACTACCCTCTCATACCCCAGTAGTGGAATTTTACTGAGTTGTTGTTGTTGTTGTTGCAGTAAATTGCAGCACAACGTTTTACTGCGTCTTCCTAAGTTCATTAAAAAATGTTTCAGTTCTTTATTAGCCTTTACATGTGGTCTGAATTTTAACATCAAGGAGTTCCCAGTTTTGACATCTTATTGAGTGGCTGATCGCACTGTTTCTAGACAATAAACTTCAGAATTGATTTTTTGGCCTTTTTACCTCAGTCTGTTCATGTGAAGTGAAACATATATTTGTACCCAAAAAAAAAAAAAAAACTTTAACAGCTGAATCATATCTAAGTTGCCGAATGTCATGTAACTCTTGTTTTTGTTTTCCAGTGGATATATGGCACCAGAATATGCGATGCACGGACAATTCTCAGTCAAATCAGATGTTTTCAGCTTTGGAGTACTAGTCCTAGAAATTTTAAGTGGCCAAAGAAACACTTCTTTTAGAAATGGAGAATCCGTGGAAGACCTTTTGAGCTATGTAAGTAACCAGGTCCAATAAGTTTTCATCAACCCTAAACTAGTCAGGACCTGCTACATGCGTTATATGAAATATATGTTACTCTCTCTACCTCCCAAATATAGTCTTTTGGTAAAGTAAATTTATTCCAAAGTACTTTTTCTTTTTCAAAGAAGTTGAACGCTAATTAAGTGAGACGTTTAAGAGAAACATAAAGATTTAATTTAGACAAAGACTCTTATATTTTTTTCAATACAAATACTCTTATGAGTAGGGCTGTTTAGTGTTTTTCTTAAGGGTTGTGAATACTCTTATGACCGGAGGCAGTATGATATATGATTCGTCTTATTCTGAGAATTGAATTATAACTGCAGGCTTGGTCGAACTGGCGCGAAGGAACAACTACAAATTTTATAGACCCAATGCTGAGGGGAAGCACAGGACTAGTTCGTGACATAGTGAGATGTATCCACATTGCTTTATTGTGCGTTCAAGAAAATGTGGCAAATAGACCAACTATGGCTGCAGTAGTTCTCATGCTCAGTAGCCTCTCTTTGAGTCTTCCAGTTCCTTCAGGGCCTGCATATTATATGCACAACGATATTAGCCCAGAGACTTCCCTTGTTCAAGAATACAATTCAAGAATGTCAGATTCTAGAGAACCAGCCAAAAGTAAATCCATTTCTTCATCACGGAATGAGGCGTCGATAACTGAGTTATATCCTCGTTAACATCCTTGGACATAATAGCCTTTTCTCTAAGTTTTCTTATTTACTTTTTTATTTGTTCCAACTCCTATTAGTTTAGAATTGAGATTGAACAATTGATGATTTTGTGTTTCGCACAAGGATTTAACTTGATTCATAAGTAATATTACTTTTATTTTGGTTTGAAAGATAATTATACTAATATAAAATTGAACTAAATGACCCCTTAGTTAGTATATAGTACTCCCTCTGGTGGACGAAATTCAGAGTAAGAGTGGTACATAGACAATTCAATTTAACAAGTGTATTCAACAGTGTATTCAGTTCAGCCATGAGATGATCCTTCTCAAGCATAGCAAATGATTCAAACCCAAAAGACTGCTTATCCCAGTTGCAGGTAATCTTTTTTTTTTCCTCTAAAAAATACTTGTGCTACGTCACAACACTTGGAAATCTAACCACATCACCCCTACGCTTTCTCCTTAGCATGCCAAAAGTCGGTGCAACTCCGGAAAGACAGATACGTTACTCAAGCGTTATGTCGAACAAGTGGTGTGCATTCTTTCAGTGTGCTTGTATGTGAGAATTGGAGAAAGATGTGCCCTTTAAAAAACAGGGAAAGCAAAAGATAGGAGTGGGAGCAGATTGCAGATGCAGAGCAAAAAAAATCAGGGAGTTTTAATGTGTCACTTACCTGGTGGTTCACTTCTTACTTTAAGGCCTCTAAACAGGGGCGAAACGGGCATTCGGTTCATAGATTTAACCACAAATTTGGTTTCAAATCTTATATTTGTCTTAAGAAATTTATTATATATAAAAACTATTAATTTAGAACCAAGTAAATTAAAAAGATTAAAATCTTGAACGCATAAGCTTCAAAGCCTCTATATTTTACTTCTCTCGCTAAGCTCTCGACTTGAGACCCCTAGCCCAGGCATCAACTCTGCATAATTCTCAACTGACAGTTAGGTCTAGCACTTACCAAGCAAACTCTTACCCCAATGTTACTTCTTGTGCCCCATTTTCTTTCCACATTCTTGAGCTCACTGTGATTCCAAATTGCTACATGATAAAATAAAATAAAAAGGGACTACTATTTCTTTAATATTAAGCATATAGTTGGAAATGAATAACATATTTAGTATTGAATTCCTGAAGTTACTATAATTTTGAGACAATTGTTTTTTTATTATCTGAAGTGAGGATTAAAATGGAACGGAGGAAGTAGTAAATAATAAACACTCCTGTAATATAAGGAAATAAAATTTCAAACTTTAGAAAAGTTTGTAAGTTTGAAATCCTGTCACAGATAAAAGAGAGTTCGATGTGGTAATAGATTCAGTCATTCAACGAAAGAACGGAAAGGTCCCCACATTTTTTGGAAATGGGAGAAGAGCTTCCACAAAAACACGTTATATTGAATTACTTTTTGAAAGTTTCAAAGCCTATAAAGCAACTGCCAATAATATATCTTCTCCTTAATTAGTATCCACTCCCATCCTTTTCAATGCTTTTAATCCTTTCATATTGTCCACTGACTCATAAGCTGAAAAGTCAGAGTCAATCTTTCAATAACAAAAAGTTGTGAAGACTTCAAAAACTGAAATATCAGATTCAATATAATCCTCATACTGTCTCTGAAACGCTAATTAAGCTTTGCGTAGATTGGGCAGACAGCTATGAGTTTCTTGGAATGGCTGGTTATTCTAATATTCCAGTTTTACTTCTTTTTCGAGCTCAGCATAGCACAGCCTAGTTTCAGATCTTATGCATGTGCAGATTACACTAATAAGACAGAGTTCTCCCCAAATAGTGCATACGACACTAACCTTAACACACTCCTGTCCACTCTTTCACGGAATATGGATAGTTATGGGTTCTATAACACTTCCATAGGCCAAAACCCTGACAAGGTTAGTGTCGTCGCGCAATGCAGAGGAGATGTGGAATCACAAACATGCCGAAATTGTATAACTAATGCTACTCTTAAGATTTTAGAGGTATGTCCTTACAAGAAAGCGGGCTTTGGTTATTATGATGACTGTACGCTACGATATTCAAATGAGTCCATCATAGGCACCGTGTCAAATAACCCTTTGGTTTTTATATTTAACACGGCAAATGTCTCGAGCCCCGACGTNTATATATTACACGGCAAATGTCTCGAGCCCCGACGTGTTTATGCAAGAAGATCTAAGAACCTTGTTGGAAAGTTTACAAAGTAAAGCTTCAGCAGGAGGTAAACGCAAGTTTGCTAGAAATAGTACTCGTGGACCTGATTTTCAGACTATACATGCACTTGTACAGTGTACTGCGGATTTATCAGCCGAAGAATGCTTCAACTGTTTAAGAACTGGTTATGAAAGTTTACCTAGCTGTCCATGTTATGGAAAGCGGGCTGCTACCGTTTTGATGCCCAGCTGCAATTTTATATTTCAAGTAAACCCTTTTTCCAACAAGCTACCAACTGAAGCTCCACCACCCTTATGGCCACCGCCACCGTCACCCTTATGGCAATCGCCACCGCCACTGCCACCATCTCCACCACCAACAGGTAAGTGAGATCTTTACGGAATTGTTAGTCACTTCTATTTCTAACCTCTCCTGTCTTTCAGATTTTAAATTCCATGTTGGTCGAACAATAAGGTTATTGTATGGGTTCAAATCTGGACGACCACGGCCCATCTCAAGTACTTCCACTTCTGAAAGAAGACACCGCTCGAGTCGTACTCTTTTTCCCTCTCCCGGGTTTTGTCCCAATCGGGTTTTCTCGGGGAGGTTTTTAATGAGGCGACGAGGGGGACATCTCTGAGGTTCGAAGTATTGTTCATTGCCCCGCCTACCAATTACATCTCTAGGCCGAACAATGAAGGGACTAGGTATAATCTCCATTATATGTACGAAGTCGACATGTATATCCGACATATGAATAAAATCACTCCATTATGTATACGAAAGCAACACACATCTCCAATGTATGAATGAAACTGGCATCCACGACACTCCAACAAATAAAATAGAACGCCACCCTCACGATGGGATCTTACTTCAGCGCCAGCTCGAAAGTAACATCCCAATGGCCAAGGCCATCGACGTAAAACGAGTTTGACATCACTCGAACTACGACGGGATATTACTTCAACGCTAGCTCGAAAGTAACATCCCAATGGCTAAGGCCATCTACGTAAAATGAGTTCGACATCACTCGAACTACGATGGTATATTACTTCGGCGCCAGCTCGAAAGTAACATCCCAATGGCTAAGGCCATCGACATAAAACGAGTTCGACATAATTCAAACTACGACGAGATATTACTTCGATGCCAGCTCAAAAGTAACATCCCAATGGCTAAGGCCATCTACGTAAAATGAGTTCGACATCACTCGAACTACGACGGGATATTACTTCAACGCTAGCTCGAAAGTAACATCCCAATGGCTAAGGCCATCGACATAAAACGAGTTCGACATAATTCAAACTACGACGAGATATTCCTTCGGCGCCAACTCGAAAGTAATATCCTAATGGCTAAGGCCATCGACGTAAAATGAGTTCGACATCACTCGAACTACGACGAGATATTACTTCGATGCCAGCTCAAAAGTAACATCCCAATGGCCAATGTCATTGACAAAAAACGAGTTAGACATCACTCGAACTACGACGGGATATTACTTTGGTGCCAGCTCGAAAGTAATATCCCAATGGTTAAGGCCATCGACAAAAAACGAGTTCGACATCATTCGAACCATGACGAGATCTTACTTCGGCACCAGCTCGAAAGTAACATCCCAATGGCTAAGGCCATCGATAAAAAACAAGTTCGACATCACTCGAACTACGACGCTATACTACTTCGGCGCCAACTCGAAAGCAATATCCCTACGGCTAAGGTCGTTGCCAACGAAAAGGGTTCAACTAAACTCAATACAATAAGTTTAGCAATTCAACAAAGCGTCGAAGCGACGTAACTACAGCAGAAGTCATAAAAAATATCAATCAAAGAAAGAAAAACGACTCAGAAATGTACGACCAAAACGACCTCCATCCACAACAAATATGTTATAAATATTTGTCTTTACAAAGGGCTCAAAGACGCTCTTACAAAAATCGCAAAGCAAAAAGTAAGTACAAAACAAATACTACACATCATTCCCGGTGGCATACACGTCTTCATACCAAGATTCGGAGGCGAGTTTGTTTGCATCATCAGAATTGATATCATCTCCGTCAGGCATAAGAGGATCATACCCGCATGCCTCACGAGCTGCACGAGCCTTGGCATGTACATCCGAAGCTCCGCTTCAGACGCCCTCCCATCAACATGAAGAGCCTTGTACACATCGAGTTGAGCCTCGGCGTGAACCCACAACTCATATAGACATCGAGGCACGACGGGATCAGTTGGAGCATAAGATGTATAAGGTTGCGACTGTCATCTTACGTCCTCTGCTTTTAAAGAATCCATTTGCTTGTTCAATGCGGATAGTTTCGCCTCCAACCCTTGAATATGCTCCCCTCCCCCGCTATCTTAAGTGCGGATACCTCCTACTCCTTGGTCGGCTCTGACCTACAAACACAAAGGGCATCATCCAAAACCGCTGCCTCAGAGACAACAGTCGCCAATCTATCGGCACCGATGCCCAGCTCACCTCTAAGCTCATTGATCTTCGCTGTCTTCGTATCCAGTTCGGCAGTTAAATTGGCCACCTTTGCTTGGAGGTCAGCATTCTCACCCGTTACCGTCTTACTCAGCTCAAGCTCATCTTCCTTCATTTTAAGGGATGCCTCGAGCTCATTGTTATAGGTGATTGCCTTCATAAAGTCCTCGTCTCGTTCCCTCAAACTCCTAGACCTTATGCGCCAATTGATCCTCCCTCTACTTGAGCTCTTCGCGGAACAGTTGGAAGTCAGGATCCTGATTGTAGATGTTGGCCATCGCATGATGCTTGGTGTGATATTCTTGATATTTAGAAGACATTTTTCCTTAAATGGACGTCCTCTTCCTTTCCCGGCGCTCGCGCTTGATCTCCATGGTAAAGGTCTGGCACAAAAAGTAAAGTTAAAAAAAAGGGACAGGCTAAAATCAATAACACAAACCCAATGACGAAATGAAAAGAAAGATATCTACCCGCAAGGCCATGCCAGAGACGCTCCTAGACAACTCCATATCGCTCATCGCTCTAAGCGCCTCATTCTCATGGGTAGCACATAAAGGAGCTAAAGCAGACACCACCTTATCACAGTCCGACAACAAGTTATAGTCCCCAAGGACAACTATTTGTCGATCAGAACCCTCCACTCTGACCTCTACGTGAGTGTGACGCTCCAAAAACTCATGAACATCCCCCGGGTCGACATCTAAGCCCTAGCCTTCGCCCTCGACGCGTAGGCCCCCTCCGACGTTAGACGATGCGCCACCCTCAGCGGAGCGCACAGAACCACCTCGTTGGTAAACCCCTTTTGTTTAGGGAGACCTCTCTGCCAAGATGGCGTCGGCCATAAACGTGAGCACAGGTGCCGTCTGCGACACACCTATCCTACTCTTACCAGTTTCAATGGCCACGCCCTTCCCAAGCTCCACCCTTTCCCTTTTTTCTCAGTAACGATTTGTCCCCATTAGAGGACTCCTTCACAAGGTGATGGATCGGTAAGTAAGAGGTCTCTTCCCTCACGACCATATCCCAAGAGGTTTCCCTCGCCTGTACCAACTGAGCACGACCCTCTCGAGCGGACTTATCCAAAGTGAATTGCATTCGTGCGAAGGCGACAACTTGACGAAATGCAGGGTCTGGGGCCCTCCGCCTAGAAGCTCTGCGACCTGCCATCATAAAGAGTCGTATCAATAGACGACGATATATAGTCGAAGAGAGATACAGAGGAAGATACTTACCAAATGAAACTTTCAGCCCATAGCGCTTCACGAAAGCGGGCCAGTCTCTAGTCTCCACTGCATGGGAAAGCAGACGGGCTACCCAATCCATTATACCCGCAATAGGGTGAGGTGGGCACCCCATAGGTGCAAACGAGAAATAAATAAACACTAAGGTGAATGAAGAAGAAAAGAAATAGTTAACAAGTGGCGACACTTACGATTCTCGTTCCACCGCTCTAGGAATCTAGCGGGGTCAGACACGATATGCTCAGTTCTAACGAAGAAGTACTTATGCCAAAATTTGTGACTTTCCCAGTCATCGGTTCCGACCACCAGCCCTTTTGTCCCACGGTACCTCAGATGTACCATAGTACCCCTATGAAAGCTGGGAGAAAACAAGTGTAGAAGGTGGTGAACGGTAACCTCGCACCCCTCCAACTACGCATATTTTGTCAACAACAGGAGTATTTTGAGCATATATGGGGAAAGTTGTGTCAGGTAAACCTGATAGAATCGACAGAATTCTTCCGCTAACGGGAGAAGGGGGAAGGAATGACCAATCACGAATGGGTACTCATAAAAAGCACAGTACACAGGCCTATGGACTTCCACGAAGTCCCTTCCCACTGGAACCATCTCAATATGAGCGGGAATGTTGTATTTTGCACGGAGAGCATCGATATGGACTTGCTCAGTTTCAGAGAGTACGGGGGCAGGAGTAGGAGGAGGATCCTTAAGAAAGTCTCTTCGAGACATAGGGTGTCTTGGCAATAACTCTTCCACGGTGGGAAAGTTGTCCCCTTCCTCCACCGTCATGTCCTCACCACCAGGGGAGCGCCATGGACAACGGGATGGTGTTAGAAACCCCCTCACGAGATTGATGTGATGTGTTCTAGGCATCTCTATGGCGGAAAATGTGTTAAAATAACAGAAAAAGCTAAGAACGAAGAATGGAAGAAGAGGAAGCAGATAAATCGTTGGAGCAAACACGGGAGGGATGCGAAAGAATAACCAGAGACGAAATGGCAAAGAGTTTCTGAAAAAACAAACCCTCCACCTATTTATAGGATTGGGTGGCGCCAGAATCGAAGCGGAAGGCTGCAGAATGGCACTGAAATCGAAGCGACAAGCCCTCAGCCCATGTCTCGAAAACACACATAATGATGACGCACGTGGAAGTGACATCATTTCCTGATAAGATACACCACCCAGGGTATTGTTGAGCACGCTAACCTTTCATTGTTGGTCAAGCCATGACGCTTCGTGAAACCAAATTTCTCCACAGGAGTGGGCGGTGTCCGCTTATCAAGGATGCACCAAGTCGCAACCTCGACAAGCGGAGAGACTAACTGTATGGGTCCAAATTTGGACGACCAAGGCTACTGACAAATACGACAAAAGATGAGATCTTCATAGCACGACGTCCGGTGAAAGACGACGACGACCGACAACGGACAAATGACGTATGACTTTTGCAATAGTGTAGGCCTAACAGGGGGCATTAGGAATATATTTTCAAATATTCCCTATGATATGTCTTTTAGGGTTCAGAAGGAGGCTGTCCCTTATATATAGTGAGGAAAAAACCTTGTAAGGGGGATTATTCGACTAAGAGCTTCTATTGTAATATTTATTCTACATTCTTGGTGATCATTTTGAGACGCTTAATCCTTCTGTTCCACAAGATCAATAAGTACTATTTACCTTGTTCATCCCTCAGGTTTCTCATTGTAGAGTTTATTATACTTGACTGAGATTTACCTCTTTATCTTCTTTAATTGATTTAACCAAAAAATGGTTCAATATCTTTTAGGTCAAACAGTTATACTAGCATATTACCTCACATTATTTCTTTACTAAATCGAAGAAAAGTGAACCCCCCAAAAAAGTCATTGGAATTCCTCCTAGAATTATGGGATTGCTAAATCTATTGGGAGCAAATATATGGATGATTCTCGATCCGGCATTAATTATAATTGAATAGAGACCATGAATATCAAAATGAGACAATGTGTCACCTATCAAAGTAAGAACTTTAGGAAATGAAGACAATAAGAAAATGGGGAAGAGCCAAATAACATTTCTTCATTTTTTCTTTTCTTTTTTGAAGCTGTGACTGAAGCCATCTGTCCATCATTGTTCCCTCATTATCTCAGTCTATCCATTTCCTTGTCGAAAGAGACTTGACTTTTTAAAGCTGTGACAGAAGCTGTAGAACCCAAATTGCTTTTTGAATTGGAGAATGAAGAAATGGTATATATCTCTAGGAGCGAAATGTAGAAAAATGTTGGGGCATTTGGGTAGAAGGCANAGGATGGCGGAGAGAATCAGAGGGAGGGAGGGACTGTTGGGTGAGCCGGCAAGGGACTGGGGGCTATCAAACTAAGTTGGGTTTTGGGAATTTTGATGAAAGACAAAAAAAGTCCCTACGTTCAAAAAACATAGAAAGACTTTTGCAACTTGTAAGCTTAAAGAAGCCACAAGTTGTAATATTAAATATACCGTAATATTTGTGTGACAATAAAAGTTTGTTAAAATGGGAAGTTCAATTTAAATTGTTTTCAAATTTAAAAAGGTGTTATTCTCTATTAAACGAGGGAGTTATGGTAATTAACGGCTACCGGCACACTAATTTGAGGCGTGTTTTTGTAGTAACTGCTCGAACTGTCATCATTACTGTTGTGCCCACTGTCACGGTTGTTATTCTTATTGTTTGTACTTTTGTCATCTTGAGGAAGAGGCAAAAGAGGAAGCACCTGCTGAACCCAATTGAGAGTAAGCGTAGTTTATTAACTGACAATGATTAAGGAAAATTGAAATTTCTAAGACCATGTTTCACTAATTTGTTGTATGCCTACTACTACTACATTGGTGAAGGCATACATGGGGATGATACTACTACTGCAGAATCCTTGCAATATGATTTTTCTGCAATTCAAGCAGCAACAGATAACTTCTCAAATGCAAATAAGTTGGGACAAGGCGGATTTGGTCCTGTGTACAAGGTTGTTTAGCTTGCTTATTGTTGCAAGAGTTTAACTTTTATTGTGTAAAATTTTTTTACACTCTCAATGTAAATAAGTTAAGTCCTTTTTGCATAACAACCTAGTTGGAGCAAGAATACTGTTTTTTAATTTGTTCTGATATGTTTCAGGGTAAGCTTCCAAATGGACAAGAAGTAGCGGTAAAAAGATTGTCAGTAGGTTCAGGCCAAGGTGATCTAGAATTCAAAAACGAGGTGCTGCTGGTTGCCAGGCTTCAACACAGGAATTTGGTTAGGCTGCGAGGATTTTGTCTAGATGGAACAGAGAGACTTCTTGTCTATGAATTTGTTCCTAATGCAAGCCTTGACCATTTTTTATTTGGTATGAATTAAGTTTTAGTTTTCCTGATAGTCTAATTCTTCTACTCTGTCAATATATGGAAGTTATACTTTTCATAAAATATGGAGCTTGAGCATCAATAATTTATGTTCTTCGTTTAATGTTCGTCCAATGAGAAAGCAGATTCGGTTAAACGTAGGCAACTGGATTGGGAAAAGCGATACAAAATCATAGGAGGCATTGCTAAGGGAATTCTTTATCTTCATGAGGATTCTAGACTTCGTATCATTCATCGTGATCTCAAAGCTAGTAACGTTCTACTAGATGCAGATATGAATCCTAAAATCTCAGACTTTGGCATGGCAAGGCTATTCACATTGGATGAAACTCAAGGCAACACAAGCAGAATCGTTGGGACCTAGTAAGTGTTACATCTCTCATTAGACATAGACTGTTGTTTTTCACATCACTGGGAAGGATTCTTTAACCATTTAGCTAGCAAGAACAAAAACCTCGAGACTTCGCAAAAAAAAAAAAAAAAAAAAAAAAATCATTCGTCGAAATGTTAATAGAATTTTAAGATGAACTTTAATTTGTCATTATAATTGCTTTCTAAATGGTTCCCCTCAATTTTGTTTTTTCTTTTCCGCACCTCAATTCGTCCAACTAGAATTTTAATCGTCCCTACAATTATGGTGCCGTATGCTAGAAAAGTCTTTTAATCGATGTTTCTCTTTTGCAGTGGATATATGGCACCAGAGTACGCAATGCACGGACAATTTTCAGTCAAATCAGATGTTTTTAGCTTTGGAGTACTAGTCCTAGAAATTTTAAGTGGCCAAAGAAACACTCGTTTCAGAAATGGAGAATCTGTGGAAGACCTTCTGAGCTATGTACGTAACCAAGTTAATTAATCAACTAAACCTCAATGCCAAACTAGTTTAGACCATCTTCATGCATAAAGCTCTTTTACACTGCTAGTATATGGAAGTTAAACTCTTGAATCGTAATGTCACAGGCTTGGACAAACTGGCGTGAAGGAACATCTTCAAATTTGATAGACCCCATATTGAGGGGAAGCTCAGGAATAGTTCGTGATATAACGAGATGCATCCACATAGCTTTATTGTGTGTTCAAGAAAATGCTGCAGATAGACCAACTATGGCTGCAGTAGTTCTCATGCTCAGTAGCCTCTCTCTGAGCCTTCCAGTGCCTTCAGGGCCTGCATACTCTATGCACAATGTTGGTAACCCGGAGAATTCACTTATTCAAGAATACAATTCAAGAATGTCCCGTTCATCACAAAATGAGGTGTCGATAACTGAGTTATATCCAAGATAATAGTCTTGTATTCAATTGCCTTTCGTTTAATTATGAGATGCATTATGTGTGGAGGCAGCTGTCAACGATAAACGAGAAACTTGAATTGAAGCCTCAGAGATCCAAACCTACATGCTCTTGTGATTTGCCCCCTTTCCCCCTCCTAGTCTAGCGCTAGTGCCTACGCTGAAAATGGAGATAATTTTATGCATGGTCATTGAACTTTTGTGTTTGTTACCCAAAAGTCATTTTTTTTTGTTACATAAAAATTATTTAACTTTGTGTTCATTACACAAAAGTCACTTTTCTTTCTTTTGTTACACTCAAATCATTTTACTTTGCTCTAGTTATCACAAAAGTCATATTTTTACTTGAAAAGTCTTTTATGCCCTTGACATTGTTTAAACCTTCATATTAATTATGCAATACCTTCTATATTATATACTATATAATATATTTTTAACGATGTATTTTATTTATAAATAAACTAACTTAATATTATTTTATTTATTATTTTTATAATATATTCGTATATTTAATTTTTTTAAAGTTAATTTTCAAAATATATTAGTAGTGTTATTAAATTTATCAGTAACTTTAATATATATATATGTAGAAAAATAAATCGGCAAGTACATTTCCGTGAGAAAATTCGCAGATAAACAAACAAAGAAAATGAGGAAAAATTCATATGTTAATCTGAAGGAAAATCCCTAGGTACTACATGTGAATTTAGCTGAGGATATTTTCTTGGGAATTTACCTGGACAATTGGTTGTTTGGGAAATTACATACTAGAAATTCGAAAAAAATCGTCCAAAAAAATCAATCAAAGTTGGCCGGTACTGGCCAATAACTGTCCAAAACATGACCATTAACGTGTGATTGTTATTTTGAAGGTCGGAAGGGTATACCGACCAAAGTTGGTCGGTCAATTAAATTTAAAAAAAAAAAAGAATTACTAAAAAAAGTTGTTTTATAACGCTACTAATATATCTTGAAAATTAAAGTTAAGAAAAAATTAAATATATGAATATATTATAAAATTAATGAAGAAAATAATATTAAGTCATTTTATTTATAAGTAAAATAAATAGTTAAAAATATATTATATAGTATATAATATAGAAGTTATTACATAAATATGAAAGTTTATATAATATTAAGGGCATAATAGACTTTTTAAGTAAAGATGTGACTTTTGTGATAACTAGAGCAAAGTAAAATGATTTTCTGTAACAAAAGAAAGAAAAGTGACTTTTGTGTAATGAATACAAAGTTGAATGATTTTTACGTAACAAAAAAAAGAAAAATAACTTTTGAATAACAAACCCAAAAATTCAATGACCATGGATAGAATTATCTCCTCAAAATGAGAAATAACTTGTCTATTTGACGTAGTATCCTCATGGATTAAGTAAACATGTTACTATTAGCACTGTTTCTAGGTATGGTTTTTATCTCAATTCATTTGTTTCTGTGTATGGTTTTTGTGTAATTGGTTATGGGATCAATGTGGGAATATTGTTTGTTGTGATATGAGTTGTTTGGATTGGCGTTGGATGGTGAACCTCAAAAACGCAGTTTGGCAGCAAGAATATCATATTCTTGACGATCGCACTCCAATTTTCGACATAACTGTTTACCGTAAAAATGACAATAACAATTAAATTTGTTTATGGAACTCTAAAAATACGTGATCTATTTTTATGTTAGTTGTTAAGCAGTTGATGCTACGTATGTGAGACTTAGAAATGAAATAAGAGTTAAGGATAGGACGATAATTAAACCGTTGGGCCAATTATCGGGGCCTCGAGCCTGTCGATTCGGGGCCTCGAGGTCGATTCCGGAGCTTGGCAGGGAGCTATCGAGGGAGGTTAGAATACAACTAACAGTTATAATAGAATTAACGGAGGCTCTTTATTGCCAATGATAAGCAATAAATGATGAACAATAATGAAGATAATAAATGAGAGCAATAATGTCAAGAGAATATGTTAGAGAGTGAAAGAGAATGTTCTTGTATATTTCGTGTGGAGCAACTGGAGCAACAACAACCCCTTACAAGGTGACAAGGATCCCCTTTATATAGGAAGGGAATCCCATCATAGTACAATAAGCATTAATTACAAAGATACGGAGATGTGAGAACTAGATGATACCCTGGTTCGGGTCTTAGACTAGTCCACTAAGCTTTGTCAGTCCTAGTCGTACGCCTAGGGAGCTTCCCATTCCTATCACCGCCGAGGTCGTCGTTATCCTTAGTTCGAGTGTCGACAACCCTCGAGAGATGGTATTCGGTCCGTGGTCTCGAGCCTTCGAGGTGATTTTTCGAGATGCCTTAACAACGAGAAATTGGCCTCTCCGATTTCGCCATATACAGATAGTCCTCAGGTTTCTTAGAGAGGAGCGACAAGAAACGATTTTGACATCTGACTCTTCGGGATTCCTATGATGGCGTCATACCGATGGTATCAACTTGTGACGTAAGCCTTTGCGATAACCGAGGTGTCTCATTGACTTGTCTTTTCAGCGTCATTCAATGCGCTGCCGATTCCCATTCTTCAGAGCGACAGTACCGCCGTCGATTCGGTTTTTAATAACGCATTGATTGCGCTTGCCGATCCGTCTTTCAAAGGTATTGATGGCATTGCTAGCCATACTATCTCCCCTATAAATGGGGGCCTTCCGATGCTATCTTCTTACCCAAGTGCCTTTTAACATCTATCCATCCTTTTCTCCTCACTGTTAACCACCATGATCGGGGTTCATGGCCTTAGGGTTGCATGGAAGCATTTTCATCGGCTGCGTGATGGCCTTTTGCCTGAGCTTTCCCTTGCCGAATGAGATTATACTGTCTTGTCGCTGTTGTTGTTGTTGTTGTTGTTGTTGTTGTTGTTGTTGTTGTTACGACTACTACTGTTGTCGTTATTGGCTCGAGGTGATGATACAGGGGGTGGGGCGACTTCTTCTGATTTAGAAGGACGTTTGGACTCTACACTGCTGCTCGGGAGAGTGTTCGGACTATACACTGCGGCTCACTCTCCTACCCTGGCCTGGTGTGGCACTTCATCCCTTGGGTTTTTTTTCCAAGGGATAAAATGGTACAACCGGTCGCTGAACTTGCATGGCACGATGTCCTGGAATGTGGACTCGGAGCGGCCGTGCAAGTAGGGTTGATTCCCGCCGAATCTTCAACCTTTGGCTTCAGTGGGCTATGTTTCTTTTTTCTGCCTCTTCTGCATCACCTTCATCTTCTTTGTCTTCCCCGTTTCCTCTTTTTCATCTTCTCCCTTGGAGATATTATTCCGTGGGATCGAGATGGGAACCTAGAGGAGGTGGCGGTCGAAGTTATCAACGTTGAGGATGCAAGTTCGAGGAGGTAGTGCTCGGAGATGCTGCTACCGGAGATGAACCTTCGAGAGTAGACTAGGTTCTAGGCTTTTACTACATGTGTACCCTTTCGTTTCTTTGTTTGTGTACTCGTGGGCTTTTGTAATTGGATGTTTACGAATACAAAGATGTTTCCTCAACTTTTGTATTTGATGCTTGCTATATTCTTTTACATTTGTGGAGACTCTGAACACATGACTCTACCGGTTGGTGCCAATATCGAACCCAGATGTGAGTGTTTCTTCCTGATTTTTGATTGACTAATACGACCTTCCACGGAACCCTTCGTCGTCCCTTGGATCAAGCCTGGATTAGACTGATAACTCGGGTCATCAGGCCCCTTACTTCGAGTCGAATGAAAGTAACGCTTCGAGCCTTGAAATCGTGATTTGTCACTTAGTCTCCGTGGTAACCTTTGAGGAGAAATTTGCTCGGAGGCCCGCGGACAGGGACTGCCTTTGAACTTTCGAGGGCAGTCCCTGAGTGGAGGTTCGTTCAAATCCGGACCACCTGGAAACTTGCTTTGAACTTAGTACAGATAGCCTTAGGGCGCTGTATATAGATCCGGGAAGAGTGTTTATCCGAGCTCAGATGGTGCCCGGGGCCAAACCCATACGGGTGGAGTTTAAATGCTTATTTCCTTAGAGCCTGATTCCTTTTTGACAAAAGCCCCCGAGGTTGGATACCACCTCGAGTCTCATAATGAATTCATTGGCTTCCTGGAGCCTAACCTTCCCTTTGATGGAGGTCCTTGAGGTCGGGTACCACCTCGGGATTGGCGATAATGTTGTTGGCCTTTCAGAGCCTAACTTCTTTTCGACGGAGGTCCTCGAGGTCGGGTACCACCTCGGGACTAGCAAAGGCGTTATTGGCTTCCTGGAGCCTATCCTTTCTTTTGATGGAGGTCCTCGAGGTCGGGTACCACCTCGGGACTGGCGATGATTCCATCGATCAGTGTTTCTAATCGGCTTCGAGGTAGACGGATTGTTGCCATTTTTTTTCATGTATAAATAGGATTGTTTCTGCTCTTTTGGATATCCCACCATTTTAAGTAGTTACCCTTCTTTTTTTTGCGTCAAGTCTTTCATTACTTCAGTACCAACGTACTTGCACAGATTCCTGCTTTAGTTCTCCAATCTCGCCATAGCCATGACCGCTACATCGGGATCTGTTCGGCAGAAAGGGGAGGGTTCCGCCTCCGACATTAAGGACTAACGAGAGTATACTTTGAATATTACCTCTTTGATAAGAGGAGAACATCTTGGGTTAGTGAGAAAAGACTGTGGATGGGGGGAAAGGTAGTGTTACAGATACTTCCCCGAGCAAGGGCATCACAGATAGTACCGATGGATTCCTAAATGTGTACACATATCCTTTCACATTGGGGCCCCTTGATAAGGTCGTGCTCGACTTCTACTTAAAGTATCGGGTTACCTTGGCGCAGATCCATCTGTCATTTTGGCGAACAATGTTGATGATGAGATTTTTCGCGGAGAAGGCGGGGCTTGAATTTACTCTTAGTCATCTTATCAGGCTGTATCGGCCCTTTCACCATCTAGGTATGCTAAACTTGCGATGCCGATCGACCACGTCCTTCGTTGTTGATGATGAGGAAGATGGAGACCAGTAGTGGATGAGTCGCTCCATCTGAGTGCGAACCGCTGACATTATCCCCGTTGAGCTTATGCCGTTCCCTGAGGAATGGATCTATACACGTAAGTGGTGCATTTCGTGCCTTCTCAATTTTACCTATGGTGAAAACTAGTTTCGTAATCGTACCCTCTTTTCTTTTTCTGCAGCGGTTTTATGGGCGCCAGGCGACGTTCCTGATTTACCGGATTGGGACCGAACA